TGTTTTTTGAGATAGAATCTCCTGTCTGAGCATTTCCAACTAAAAATGCATTAACACAATCAATTAACAGAACAAAATATTAGAAATCAAAACAAACCCCTGTTCCAGCTTTAAAGAATGTAGACTTTTACAGGCCTATCTTTAAGTTTGTTGGGCACACATTTCATTAATATTTATACCTAACATGATCTCTATAGTACACTGTTGTATCATTAGAGACTAAAGTAGCAATACCATCAGAAACAACCAGAGTTCCAGGGTGTGGACACACTATTTCTAGATAAAAGTAGATGTTTATTATTGGATAAAATTAACCATAAGTAAATAAGTAGATACAAAATAAAATAGTTTAGTTACTTTCGCAAGATGTTGGAAGAGAGTAATCAAAAATCCATTTTGGAACATCACTTGCTGAACTTGTACAGGTTGCTTTTACTTCACTTGTCAACACTGGATCTGAATTTTTAATAACAGGGAATGACATAAATCAGTTAAAAACCATTTTTACCTTGAGACCCAGAGTTTGCAGGGATTGTGGTTTTGAACTCATATCCAGTTTTACAAGTGTAAGTCTTAATTTTTCCCACGATAGTAAATCCATTTAAATCATTAGAATATGCATCTCTTGGGTTGGATGGAAGAGCTTCTCTACAATACCCTGTAAAAAGAATGTTATTACCCTTTTTGAACCAATTAAACAAAAATATTAAAATGTCATCATGTTGGTACGACTGATACTTAAATACTTAAATGCTGTCATAAAATAAAATAACATATACTTTAGCTGCAAAGAAAAGAAAAATGGCGTAAACATGTTTGGAACTTACAAGAAAAATGTAATTATTGAAAAAGCTGATATCTAGTAAAATATTTTCTTGATGTCATGTTTTATTTTCCTTTATTTAAATAAATATATTACCAAAACAGTCTCCTAAAGTTGATCCATATTCATATTTCCAAGCCATGTCAAAGATATTAATATCATAAGTGCAATGTCCAGTTTTTGTTGTGTAAGCTGTATAGTATCCATTATTCTCATGAAAGAAAGCGCACCCATCATTACATTTTGCCTCAAATGTATTGGATGCACTTATTTTTGAAGATGAGAAATTGGAAGTCATATTCTGACCTGTGACACTGGCTGGACAGTTCTTTGCTAAACAATACTATTGTAAAAATATTTTCAAAAATACAACTGTTTATTAATGAAATAAAAATAAATAAAAAATTACTTCCTATGCAGCCTGACATGCACGCCCCAGCCACCTGCATTTTACCCTCTTCAGTCAGTCTGATTGCACATCCACCATTGTGGCATGTGTCCTTAATGAAGGTACCATCAGGTTTTCTGTAGGGAAAGATGCACTGGTCTCCATTTTCAGCCATACATCCAGGTTCAGTGGTTACTAAGAACATAGGCATAATAGGTCTAATTTGGCTAATTTAATCTTAAAAATAATTGATGCTTACCAACAAGAATCTCTGAGATATCTAATTCTCTATTATCTTCTTGATAGGCTAGTAGATGCTGAACTGGCTTATTAGGTCCCTCCCAATCTTCCCATTTGTCTTTTTTCAGTACTTGCTTTTGACCCGTCTCTGTAATTCATTTTTTCCATTAAAGGTACTGTTAAGTTAAAATAAAATGGGTATAGGCTAAAGTTTAGAAATTTCAGGTGCTAATCCAAACCAATAATAGTTCTATCTGATGTACTTGAGAAATTGATATAACACTGTGTCAGAGATATTTGTTTAGGGTTAATAGGGTCTCTTTAAATATTTCCATTAAAGTCAATGATAAACACTTTGAAGAAGAACACTCACACAATTAAAGAGCAGTTACGATCTAGCCTGGACTTTAACCAGTTCAGAATTTAAAAAAAATTCTTTCTCAGAATAAAATTCCTTTTACTGCTGGGTACCACATTTGTAAAGAACTTGTTCGCTGGGTTTTTAACATTTCTATTTGCTTTCAATTGCAGCTACTTGGTTTAACAATTTGTAATAATTTTTTTTCTTTTTACTGCAAGAAAAACTCTTTTTTCTATAGGGTGAGAAAAAAACCCAGATTATCAATGTTTTTGACAAAATTGTCTGAATTGTTGGGATTTTAGGCATAAGAAATAAAATGTTACAAAAAATTTAGAGTAGAAATCTGAAGTAAATGTTTCCAAATTATAATCTGAGAACCAGCTGTTACAACTATATTTTGAATTTTTTATACTTTTTATACTATTATATGGATTTCTTTTCTTTGGATTTCAGAATTTTAAAGATTTTTTCTGCTGGAAAAATGTGCTTTTTAGAACTTTTTTGCATTAAATATTTTTACATTTTTATTGTTACTTTTGCTTTCAAACTTCAGGCTTCACAATTTTAAGGATCTTTTAATAGTTAATAGTTCATCATTTGGAAGGAGAAATAAAATTCAAGAAATTGGTTTTGCTAGTTCTTTCTATTGAGTTTTTATTTCATTTGAAAAATTCAGAGAAGGTGACCACCTGTCCAACTACTAGATCCAGGAACCCGATAATACAAATTAATTTTGCTTTGCTTGTTGTCATCCTCATCAGTACCCAGCAGATAGATCCAAGTTATAGTAACAGGAGAGTTGTATGTCAATAGAGCCCACCTAAAATAAGAAAAACTCTTTTTCAAATGTATTTTTTGAAAAAAAGTTGTTTCTCGTATCAGTTACAGATACTCAAGGAATGCGTAAATTTCATTTAATTAAGATCAGATGGCAGACGGTTGTTTACCGAGCACACTATGTCCAGAAGCTTTTTAAAGGAACATGATGATTATGGTGAATTATAATGAATGTGTTTCCCAAGAAGTGTAGAATTTAACCAAATAGTGTGCAATTTGATCTGAATAGAATATAGATAGGTTAGATTTAAGAAACAGATTTGAATTCTATTCATTCTTAACCCAGATCCTACTTATCTGTTAGGTAATTAGGGCATAGATAAGGGGGGTGATTTGGGTAAGGGGGGGTCCAATTTGGCTTTTGTGATATCAAATTTTGTACGGATTGCATTTGGTCCTGAAAATTGAGATAAAATGCTGAAATTTTGCATTCAGCTTTTTATTGTGGTTATATATCTACAAAATATATCTTCAAAATATGAAATCAAGGATCTGAGAATGAAATAATATAAATATGTATTGATCATTCATTCAAAGATGGAATTAACTGATTTACAATGGTATTGGCCCTTGAAGGGGAAGTTGTCTGATCAAGTATGGATTAGATATCTATGTTTTTGTTTCTTTGAATTGTTTATTTATTTTACCCTTTCTCTTCAAAAGTGACTTGCACATTTCTTGCGTATAACAAATAATTGAAGAATTTAACACTTTTAACATGTCAACAATAGTTTCCACATTATTGGTCTGAGAAAGGTTTACTGAAAGCACAAAAATGTTATGCTTACTATCATCAAGGTGATATACAACACTTAATTTACTGCATGGTATGTAATCGTACTGCTCTTTCTATATTTGTACTGCATTTTGTGTAATTGTACAGTATTGTATTTAATTATACTGCATTGTATATGTAACTTTACTGCATTGTATGTAATTATAATGTATTTTATGTAATTATCCAGCATTGTATGTAATTGTACAGTATTTTATTTAATTGTACTCCATTGTATGTAATTGTACTGCATTGTATATAATTCTACTGCTTTGTATGTAATTGCACTGCATTGCATATTATTGTACTGAATTGGATGTAATTGAACTGCATTGTATGTAATTGTTCAGCATTCTTCTTTGCATGTATTTCCACTGCATTTTATGTAATTGTACAGTATTTTATTTAATTGTACTCCATTGTTTGTAATTGTACTGCATTGTATGTAATTGTACTGCATTGAATATAATTGTACTGATTTGTATGTAATTGGACTGCATTGTATGTAATTGTACAGCATCGTATGTAATTGTTCTGCATTGTATGTATATATGTACTGCATTGTATGTTATTGTACTGCATTCCTTTTTTTGTCGTGGAAACAATTTATATTAAGAAACAGTGAAAGCTAGAGGACGTTGGACATTTTGGGAATATTCTTAGCAAATATTCTTCATTTCAAGTTTTGCATAGCACATAAAAGCAAAAATTGCTTAGAAATACGAAAAAATTTGTCTTATATAACTCAGGATTTCTAAACGGTCAGAACTAATATGCTCCGACATTTATCAATGATATCAAGTCTATTTTAACCTTTAATAGCTCTGAAATGGACTTCAGAAATTATATGTAAATAAAAATTAGGTTTTGTGGATTTCTTAGTAAATGAGTTAAGAAATCTAATTCGGGAAAAAAGCTTTGAAGCATTTCAGAAAAGTATCAGGTAACGTCAGGATGAACTTACTACCAAAATCAATTTAACTTTTAACAAATATTAATGCATCTGAAGTGGCAAATAAAATAAGGTAGTCTGTAAAGTTAATGTTTGAACAAATAACAAATAACGTATATTTGAAAATTGGATAAAAAGTGATAATGTATAAGGTAAAATTTTGTCATCTTCCATTAAAATTTGTAATTATTTATCATTTAAACTAGTTTGAAATGTAAAAAAGTCAAAAGTAAACAAATAAAAATGGCTGCAACTTTAGATTTATCGTAAGCATGTAGAAAGGCTTACTTGTACAATGTACATAAACTGTAGTCAACGATAGCAGTGGGACAGATGACAAGTCTCCTTATCTATATCATGTAGGGATATTCATCCGTTAAGAAATGCCAACTCCTGATGGAAAAGCAAGCCACAGTTGAAACCAGGAATTCTATTCTTCATTCATCAAAAAGAGGATAGACAAGGGCTTGAAAACCAGGCAGGAGAAAATGGCATGACCTGGGCTAAAACCGAAACGAAAGTTAGTAGGAACGGTGAGTTTGAAGAGTTACCCAATCAAGGCGAATGAAAGGCGGAGAGTCTGCCAAGAAAGCTCCAGCTTTCTATGATTCAATGAATCATTAGTATAATTTTAATTGTTAATTTTTTTTCTTGTAAATACATTTTTGCTGGGGATTTACTTATGTCAGTTTTTAGATTGTCCTTATTTCAGACTACTTTTTAATGGTAACATGGCACACTGCTAAAAATGGACCATCAGGTTTCAAGACAAAACACCTAAATTTTTTCTTTGGATTATGTTTATATGCAGGCTACTGAGTTATCGTCTCAATTTTCAGAAAATGCCAACTGGGGAATTTTGAGCAAATCAATTTTTAAGAAATTGTAGAAATCAAGTGGATTCACACTTCACAGGTCTAAAATTAAACAAAAATTTTGTCTCAAGACTTTAATCTGCACTTCTGGTTTTTTATACGATATTTGTTTAACAGTATATGACATGGTCTCCAAATTTTTTTATTTTTCTTTAACAGTCATGAAACTTATTCTAGCAAAAAATCAAACCCCTAAT